AGGAGGACCAGCAGCTAGTGTAGTTCTTACAGGAAGAGAGGTGCACAATTCCCATGTGGATTGTAGCACCTTGGATTTAGATAGGAAGATAAGACTAAGGCCTCAAAGTCTCTTTAGAAAATCCATTTACACTATTTGTGAACCTTGGTGAGGCTCGAATTCATGATTTCTTAAGCAAATTACTCTTGAGGTAAAAATTATTCATTTAATTTTTCTATTATTTACATTCTATTTTTAATCTATCATAAATTACTCATACTAACTTGGAATTACATGATTTTTATGTCATTGGAAAGATAAAAAAAAGTATCTATTTAAAAAAATATTTTTTACTTTTTAATTTTATTATTTATTAGATGAAAAATCTAGTGAACAGACTATGACTTAGTTTTGGATGTTGTAATTACTTAATTTCATTTCTTTCACTTATATTGTGGTTGTTCTTATTTATTTTTTTGCCAATTGCTTACTTCACCTCACACCACCAATTACAAGCAACTCTTAATTAAGGCCATCTTGTAATTGGGGTTGAGGAGTGAAATTTACACTCATACTTTAATAGTTTTTAAATTTTGTATACTTATTTTTTATTTGAATATTGAAATGTGTAAAAATTTTTAGTCAAAATTATTAGTTTGATAAATAGTTATAAAAGATTTTAATATTACTAAAAAAATATTATTAATATTTATTTAGATTTAATTAGGCTCATTTAGGATTTCATTAAAAATAAATTAGGATTTATTTGAGGTTTACTAGGATTTGATTAGGATTTGGTTAATATTTTATTTTTAGTATTCTTTTAGAATTTATTTTATTTTATTAGATTTTTATTTAAATTTTATTTAATTTTTTTTAATAATTGATTAAGATCTTATCATAATTATTTAGGTTTAAATAGATTTTATTTTAAAAAATATTAGAGCTATTTAAATCTTTGTTATTACAATTTATAATTCACCTTTTATAGCCAAGTGTTTGATGTGTTTTCAAGCAAGACAACATATTATACAACAACATGATCAAACTTTTAAGCTGCCATTGTATTGGCAACAACTACTTTGAGTAGTCTAAAGGATTATAATATTTTGTCTCATCTCAAGTTATTATAAACTTCTTTTTTCTTTTTTTTCATTTTTTTTGTCTTGATACTTCTTTAGATCTAGTTTGTTTTTTTTCTTTAAAATAACACTAAATAGCATAAAAATAACACTAAATAGCATAAAAACTAAATAAATAAATAACACTAAATAGCTTAAAAATATGTTATTTTAAAGATAACATATTTAAAAATATGTTATTTTAAAGATAGCATATTTAAAAATATGTTATTTTAAAGATAGCATATTTAAAAATATGTTATTTTAAAGATAGCATATTTAAAAATATGTTATTTTAAAAATTTATTTGAAGTATGTTCTTATTTAACATATTGAAGTATGTTCTTATTTAAGCATCTTCTTATTTAAGCATCAAATATATATATATATATATATATATATATATATATATATATATTGTAATCTAATAAATATAATTAAAGGCTTTTTAGATAAATGTTTTTTATCATTAAAGACTAAAATTATCAATAAAAATTGACTGATTTTTAAAGAAGATCTAACAATGTTAAAGTCTTGACTCTTCAAAAAGCTAAAATATAAAGTTCATACAATCTTATGCTAATCTTTAAGAGTAATTGCTACTTAAATGTTATCAAAGTAGCTATCTATAAAACTATATAAATCATAATCTGTGACATCTTATCCTATATCTTTAATAAAAGATAATAATAAAATAGCCTTTTAAAATATATTTATTCAATTCTTAATTATCTTAACATACTTCAAGTTTATTTCTTCTATTCTTATATATCAAGAAAATTTGAAACAATTTATTTATGATCTTTATAAATCTTATAAATCTTACTTGAAGTAGTCTTTTAATTTTTCTTTTACAATAAATTATATCTTAGAATGATAGATTAAAATAAAGGCTTTATTCTTATAAGGATGAAAATATCTAAGTAATTATTATCATCAAATTATAAATAATTTATTATATTTATTAATTAAATATAGATATTTTTAACTTATAATGGATTTTTTTATTAAATATTTGATAAAATCACATTCATTTTTATATTTTTATAGTCTAAGATCTATATATTTTATTAAGGCAATATTTAAAATTAAGTTATATTGATAAAATTTGTTTGATTAAATTTTATATTTATTAGATTTTTTCCTAAAATAATTAAAATTTAAAGTTTATTGTAAATAAATACTATGATTTTTTTTAGTTATTTAAGGATTTAAAAATTAATTGTAGTTTAAAAACCCTCTAATTTTTTTAATTTTTTTTATTTCTTCAATAATCCTTGTTTTTAAAAAATAAAATAGCTATTAAATTCTTTATAAAAATATATCATATGAATAGAACTATAAAATCTATATTTCTTGCCTGTATACAAAAGTCACAAATATAGCTAAGAGATTGTCTTTAATTAATTAATTTTATTTTTATAATTACTTTATAAATAGCCTTCAACTTCAACTTATTCATGATAAATTTAATTACAATATTAGTACTACTTCTACCATCTATTATAACATTAAAGAATTTTCTTATCTACAATTTGTACATTTATATTAATAAATTCATACTCTTAGTTTATTATTTTCTATTCTTTTGTTATATTCAACTCTATATTCTCAACTTCAATTATAGTTATTTCTTTTATGTGCTTTAAAATCTTTTTCACTAATGATGTTGTTTAAATCAATTATTTAAAAAAAAAGGTTGATTGTAGATCTACAAAGATCTTGCCATAAGTCATAAGGTTCCATAAGATTGAAGTTTCTATTGAGTTTTGAATATTTTAAAAAGACATTGGAAGTCTAAGGCGTCTTTTTGCCTATAATTTGATATACTTCTTTATCAAGTCTAATTAAAAGAGATAGTTTTTTTATATTTTTGTTCTTCAGCTATATCTTGAATATTATTTTTTAATTAAATAAACTTACATGAATATACTAAACTATCCAAAGACATTTTATCTTCTTCAAAATGTATTAAATTTATCAATTTATTGAAATTTATACTTTTAATAGTGACCAATGAAAATTATTATTTCTTATCTATAAAAATCTTTTTGCTATCTTGTTCCACTAAGTTAGATTGATAAGATCATAAATTTAATATAGAAAATAAATTAATTTTAATATCTAATTTTTAAGATATACTTAATATCTTGAGAAGATGGTATTTCTTGATTTTAATTTTGGTTATATTCTAAAGATACTTATATGGTTACTTTATTGATTTGAAGTACCAATAAAAGATTATGGTTTTGATCAAAATTTAAGTAGATATATTACATATTTATTAGTCCATTGGCAATAATATTATCTGCAAATTTAATTTTTTTCATATTATTTCTAGCTAAGTTGATATAATCTTTTGAGACAAAGGATAAAGAAATGATCTTACTGGATCTTCTACAACAATTTGTAGGGTGAGATCTTCTATAATTTGAATACATAATTCTATTTTTAATCCAATATTGATCTACTTAACATGTCTTTTTACAAGAAGAATAAGATGTATCATTATTTCTTTGGTTTGAAGAAAAACTAAGACCTATTTATCTTGAATGGTGAGGTGGGTTATAAATATATACCTTCTTCTTATAATTACTTTTAAATAAAATACAATCAAAGTAAAATTGCAAGTACAAGTTAAATTTAAGAATTAATTAAAATTTAGATTCAAAATTAATACAAAATATTATTGGATCCTAAATTAGATATCTAACTCTTATAATATAATGAGGCCTATTTGTAAATATTTTTTATTTTTAATTCCAAATATAAAATATATATATATATATATATATATATATATATATATAGAACATTCTAAGTAGGCCACTCAAACTACAATCATTTAAAAAAAAAAAAACATATAACAAAACATCAAAAAAAATAAAAAATAAAATATCAAAACATGCTCTTATAATCTAAAATTCAAAAATTTGAGAATTAAAAAAATTCCTTAATTTTAAATACTTAAAGTCAATTAAGTCTTAAAATTCGAAATTTAAATCCATATTTCTAAATTATTTATATGATTACTAAATTTTAAATCTATAAATCTTTAGTTTTTACTTTTAAGAATGATATATTTATTATGTATTATTGAATTACATATTTAAACTTTTAACTATAATTTTATGTGTTTATGTGTATTCAATTTAGTTAAGTTTATTTTTTTCTTTCTTTTTTGGATTCATTTTAGAATTTGTAGAGAAGAAGTATTATTTTTGAGTTTATATCTCATTGGATTTTTTAATATTTTATAATTTAAAAAAAAGGTGTAATCAAAATTAACTTATATTTTTACATTTGAGAAGTTTGAATAATTTATAAGCAAAATTTATTTTAATCTTTTAGAATGTTACTGTAAATAACATTTAGTGCACAATAATTTAAAATAGCAGAAGTAGTAATTTGTGTTATTAGTATTTTTGACACTATGGTTTTAGGTTTTTTTGAGGTCATTGCAACAAAAATTCTTCACTTATAAGTTGAGACGAGGATTGCTTCAATATATTTATGCTAGTTGTTTATAATATAAAAATTGAAATTATTATTTTATACACCATTTACGTATCTTTGTTTTTCTGTCATTGTTACTATTACAGCATTTTGGTCACATGTTTGTAGAGCTCGGGGATTAAGGTTTGTCCCTCAACATCAGAATACCACCTGTGTGATCATATGAAATTCAAATTTAGCAAGCGTGGACTCCAAGTGTGAAGCGGGCCTTAGCACTGTTCTACGTCTGCAGGCAGCTACCGTTTGTAGAACGATGGACGACTGTTCATGCTTTGTGAGATTGTTCCCTTGTGTGTCCGTCTTCTATTGGTAGTAAGGCGGGACCCGCCAACTTTTTCGTCGTCCCTCTCGCTAGGTTTTGTTTCCCAATTCTCGTTTCGTTGTCTTGGTTATTCTTATTCCGAGTTTCAGTGCTGTGGGTCACTATTTTTTCCTCCTAGGTTTTTCGCTCTTCTGCCGATGCTCCCAGCTTTTATTGCCAAGTTTTGAATGGTGTTATAGCCGGTCTTGTTGCCGAAGGTCTTGCATTTGGGTTGTGGTCAACCCTCGCCCAAATGATTTATACTGCCCTTGACACCTTTTATGTCACGGAGGAGCTGCTTTCGAACTCGCCATCCCGAAATGATGGCATTGATGAGATGACAGAATCAACGCTCCGTCGGTTTGGTTGCGACCTCGTGCAGGAGAGCGGCATTCTCTTGAAATTGTATGTACTTGTTCTTATCTTTTGGTTACATTTCTCGCGATTATTGCCTTATGTGTTCCTTCTACGTGGTTCTTAAATTGGGTTTAAGTATACTCATTTCTTGTGACTTTTCATGCTATCGTCTTCGTTCAGGGTTTGAAAGGAGGATGTAATTCTCTAGTTCCAGCTTTTCCTTATTTTGTTGAAATTGGCATAATTCTCTTATGGTTTGAAGTCATGTACGTTTGTCCATATCCAGCACTAAGCCTAGGAATTAAGCTTTGCGTGCATATTCACAGGCCACAAGCAGTGATGGCGACTGGCCAGGTTCTGTTTCATCGATTCTATTGCAAAAAGTCCTTTGCACTGTTCAATGTAAAGGTATTTTATTTTATTTTTTTCAATCAATTTAGATTGACGATTGCATAATTCATAATTTAGGGTAGATTTGTCTAGGTTGACTTGAACATTGACCTCACGCGCACATTAAGGACTCGAGTCATAGCCTGTGATGGTTAAGTCAGATGTTTCGTGTTTTCAGAGGTCGTGCTTGATGATTGGTTTTGTTTCTTCCACTGTATCGTTAGGGTTCTTAGTTTAGATCAGACTCTACAAGTCCATATTTTCAATCTATGGTCGATTTGTGCAGCCCTTTGGTGCGTTTGTAAGGAGAAATTTTGTGGGCTCATGAGCGTATAGTTTGAGTGCTTGTTTCATGTGATGTGACCCATCTTACCCCTCTCTTAATGCAGAGAGTGGCAGCGAGTTGTGTATGGCTAGCAGCTAAGCTTGAAGAGAGCCCCCGAAAAATTCATGAAGTATTGCAAGTGTTCAATCGCATGGAGCAGAGACGAGGAAAATTACCTCTTGAGTTTCTGGAGTTATCGTCGCAAGTAACACATTTTTCACTTCGGTTGCCTTTAATTGCATTTTTTTTTAACACTCTGTTCATATTAAGTATCTTTTCCTTCTACAGTTTGTTTTAGGATTTTTGCACACATATGGGACCGTGTTTTTAATTTGAGTACTAACGGGACACTTCAATCTGCAGAAGTATGAGGAAATGAAAATCGACTTGATTAGGACAGAGCGACACCTTCTGAAAGAGATGGGATTTATTTGCCACGTAGAACATCCTCACAAGTTTATTATAAGCTATTTGAAGGTGCTTGCTGCTCCTTCAGAGTTGATGCAAGTTGCATGGAACCTTGCAAATGACAGGTATGTGCATTCTTTGATCACACTAATTCTCGTAGTCACGTTCATACCAACATTCGTTTGGCATGGTTGGTATATTGCAACGCCTTGTGTGGTATGCACATTATTCAGTTCGTTGAACCTGTTGACGGCATACTCTGTGCTTATGGTGCTTATGGTGAAAGACTGACAAGGTTTATAGGGATGTATTCTGTGTGGTGCAGCTGAAGTGGTTAATGATTTGAGACGGGTTCAGTAACCTCTTTTTCTTGCAACAGTTAAGCTATATCTTATACAATTTGTTTTGTCTGTTGCAGCTTACGTAGCACACTCTGCGTGCGTTTCAAAAGTGAGGTTGTTGCGTGTGGAGTTGTCTATGCTGCGTCTCGAAAGTTTAAAGTGCCATTTCCTGCCAGGTGGTGGGAAGTGTTTGATGCTAAATGGAGTGAAGTGGAAGTAGTCTGCAATGTCCTTGCAGAGTTATACAAACAACCGAAAGGGTATTATATTGAAGTGGGGAGGAATACTAAGTCATTTGTGTTGACCACTAAAGCCTGGGATGTTTCTTCTGAGGGACAGGTAAGTTTGTTGATTTTTATCCCAACTGTCCTAGATATGCACCCTCTTACTGTCCGTGCTCTGTTGCGCTTTTTTTGTTGGTACTATTCAGAGCTTATTGCGTATCAAAGTTTGATTCATTCATTACAGGAAGGGCTGATCAAGTCTATCGTGAATGGAGCTGCTTTTGTTAAAGAGTTACCGACCACAACAAGCTCCGATGCTGGTATACCGAAGGAAGTACCTTTGAAGACTCCATTGGATAATCTGAAACCTAGAGTCGTGAAGGATAGGAGTCATGATCTCGACGTAGTTCGAAATCCAGACGGTAATGGTGAATTGAGGGATGACCCTGGCGCAGGGAAGGAAAAACCAATTAAACATACTGAAAACGAATTAGGCGATAGGATTAAGGATAAGGACAGGGACCGGCTAAGGCTTCGTGAGTCTCGAGACAGTGGGCGGGATTATAATGTTGAACGAGAACGGGCACGCGGTCGGGATCGGGACAGGGAAAGGAGAGAGAAGGAACGAGAACGCGAAGAGCGAGAGAGCACCAAGGAGCGGGATTACCGCCGGAAGGAAAGAAGCAGGGATGTAGGTGAGTGAGATTTTTGAGTTCTATTCTCCTGACGCAACTTAACTGTAGCCTATCACCCTCTTTCGATTACTTCTTGAATGTTTAGTTTTGATGATAATGATGACTTTGGTTGCTGTGTTATGTATTCGATTATTTTGTTTATTATTTCATGCAATTCCCATTTCATCAAGGTGGTACTATACCTGGTCCTGAATCCTTGCTCTTGTGGGCTGTGAATGTTTGGATTCCGCAACTCGCACTTTTCATGAATTCTTTTACCTTTTATTAAAAAAATTCTGTAGGTAGAATTGAATAGTTTACACTGCATCCTGGGTTTGTCCCCACCTTAGAAACTGTGCGCTCTCCCTTCCCATACGTCCCGGCGATGCTACTCGTTGTGAAGGAGTTGATAATAGGTGTGTGATTTGTGCATGACAGTTCTTCCCGCCGGTCAACAGCTGTTGAATGGCCTTTGCTATCCTTGCAAGCGCTTGCTGTACACCCTATGTAGCCATGTTGTACATACTGATGTGTTGGATGCTGCTTGTGAGGCCACCTGTCTACATTGATAACGTGAGGCCGTTTAACAGCTGTTCTGGTAGGGGACTTCAATTTAAAGTTGCTGTTACTAATGTCAAACCTGCCCTTGAAGGTCAGTGTATATATTGGATGGAGTGATTTGCTTGGAGTGAGTCTGGAAGTAGTATCAGCTAAATTAAGGACGTGCTAGGTTTGGTCGTTCATATTATGACGTTTGCTTCTGAAATCCTTGATGAGCAAAATTTTCTAAATTTTCAGATCACGCTGAGAAGATTCGGCATAACGCAATTTCTCGAGGTGTGCGATTGGTGTAATTCTTGCTAAGTAGCGATCATATTATGCATCTGATTTACAAATGATTTGATCAGAAATTAGTAATAGACCACTCTATCTAACTGATGGCATTTTATTTATGCAAAGGAATATTTTCTGGTAAGCGTTTAAGATTATTGAGTGCTGCGTGTGATTGAATGCATTAACAGATCGGGATTTTCAATTGATCAGAGAGAAAGCTCGACATCAACATCATCGTCGACAAAATGTTTGAGGATATTCCTACGGCAACTAGTGTGATTCTGATGCATGAGTAGAAGGGCCTTGGTTCTTTTAGTTCAAGGCATGCATGCATGCTATTTCATTATCATAGCAAAGGTTACTGCACTGGCGGCAAGCGGAAGTAAGTTTCCAGCTGTGCTTTTGTCTTATCTCCGTAAGTGTTGCTGTTTAGGATGAACTGATTTTCAGCAGCTTCAATTGGCAGAAATGATCTAATACAGGACAAGGAACACGGGGAGAGGAGACCTTGCTACCAGCTGAGTTGGATGAACGCAGTCAACAATTTCACGGTCGGTTCCTGGCCTCACGTTCAGTGTTAGTGGAGCGCTATTATGGGTGCTGAGTAGAATCTTGTGGGCCTGTAGATATGTAGTTAAACTAGCTTAACCTGATACTGCATTGTGGTGGATCCGAAAGTAACAAGAAATTTGTTAAAAACATGTAGTTGCAAAGGTAGATGTTTTGCTTTTGCCCATGTCCCTTAAAACATTTTAGTACACAGCACACATTAACATGTTCTGTGCTACATCCTTGAATCTTCTCTTTGCTTCTATGTATAAAATGACAGCGTTGGGCACGAGCAATATTTTTGACACATACATGCTCTTGTTGCCTGTTGAACGGGTCTGGTTATAGGCATAATTTGCAGGCTCTGATACAAATCCACTGGGGTTTAGGTCAGTTCTGGGTCTCTTTCGCAATTTTAGTTTTAAATGGGGACGGGGCATTCATTTACTAATCGCGAATGTGCATGCATGTGCACAATACTGTAGAAGCCTCTCATTCCAGCAAGAAGCACTCCGTGTGCTCACGGGAGACAGCGCGGCGTGTATCTACTCTTCAGCTAGCTGGTGGTAAGTGCGGGCTAGCGATCAGTTTTTGCTGCATTTGACAGCTGCAGCAGGTATTTCAACAGACCTCAGGCACAAGCTTTGGAGAAGAGCCTTTTTTAACCCAAGAAAATGATTAGTTTTCGAACACGGTCGGGCGAATTTAATCACTCCTAAGTTTCATCAGACAGCGATTCTGGGTTGTCCACTGTGTTTGTCTTTGCTTAGTTTTGTGGTTATCCAAGGTGTTGCTCTTGTTGGAATTGGCTTATTTATTGTTGGTTGTGGATGTGTTGTGACTCATTGGTCACACATCCTTTCAAGACAATTGTAAGCAGATTGGAGCCACAGTACTGTTCTCTAGGAATTATTCCTATGATTTTTGTGTCTGATGTTTCCTTGTTTGATTTACTTGTTTTACTTCCAAATTCTATTTATATTTTGTGGGTACCTAACTTGCACTGCTGTTCCTGTTGAGGACTTAGCCTGTTGTCAACCATAAACACTGTTATGAGTCTTATTGAAGTCTTAAGAGGTATTGATGCAATTGACACAGATTTACTGAGGAATCGAGTTTGTAAAATGGTTAATCAAAATGGCAATGTTATGTGCGAAGAGCATGGCAGCATCTGGCGATTGCAAGTTGCAGTAACAGGTATGCTGATATCAAAAGCACGTTCTTTTCAAGAATGCCCCTCCTGCCCTGCTGCTATTTTTGTGAACCCATTTTTCGCTTAGTTAGTAGTTTCTCATCAGAATGAAGCTTGGTGCATTGATGGTTATCTGACTGCTGGCAAAATATTTTAGGTTCTAAGATAAGACTGTAAAGGTGAGGACGCATACTAACATGTGTGAATTTGATCGTTTGCAAGCTTCTGACTCGTACATTAATCAGCACAGTAAATGATGAGAACATTTTTAAAATTTTTTGAACGCCCTTTTACTTTGTTTAATATTTCGCAAGTTATAAGCTTGTATATTGTTCTCTTTTTCAAGGTCGTTGTTATCTACATGGTCTCTTATTTTATCAGATGAGTTAATCTGTGGGGAGCAAAATTCTAATGACGATGTTTCAGGTACTGCATTATTCCTGTTTAATCTAATTACTATCGAGATTGGAAACCAGGTGTGCGATACTTTAATGTTGAGTGCCGATTTCCAAAATGTCTTTGTCGAAGCAGTACGTCATTGTTATTATGTGATGGCCCTTCTAATGTTCTTCACTGCAGAGTTAGCTGTTACTATGCTGGTTTCTATTTTAAGTAAAACATGATGTTTTTATCGGAGTACATTATGATGGATTGACTCTTGAAGTAGTCTCAAGTTCTCCAACTATTCTTTCATTGCTGTTCTGGTTGAAACTTTGTTCATTACGTAAGTAGTCCTGTATTTTTTTTTTTCGTGTTGTGCTATGTGGGTTTCTTTTCTCAGGTCCTTGTGGGTGGATATGTAGAGGAGTGGCGAAAGGCTTTTGCAAATCAAATTGAAGGTATTTTGAGTACGCAGTACTCGCGTGTTTCACTTTTTGGGATAGTCTGTAGTGGTTGATTTTATTAATCGGATGGCAGCATGCATTTGCCTGGTTGTTATTACGTCGTGTGACCTGCAGCTGTAATTTGACATTTAATTATCTTACGGAAGTTTGTATCGTCTTCTTAATTGAACAAATGTAGGCCTGTTAGGCATGGTGGCGTATTACAATAACTAAAATCCATGCATTGGAACTATGGGTATCCTGGATACCAAGGGGTTTATTGTTGTGTTGTGTTGTGTACATGGTCCTAGCGAAACGGTACTACGCAATGAAAAATATTCGTGAAGTAGAGGACCCATATGGCAAATCATAGTCTTACCCCACTTGCACTTCTCTCACATCTGGCAGATACATAATTTTAATCAAATTCTTCAATGTTCTTCATGTGTCCGTCAAAAATTTACAGTGAAATTTACAATCATAAAGCTCATCTGCCGCGTTGTCCTCAGTTTGACAGGATGAAATGTGAAGCAATGAATGCTCACAACTCCTGCTTCCATTCTCTACTTTGTTAGATTTATAATTTCATGAGTCGATGATTTTTTTACCCTGAAAGATGATCTGCGTCCTAAGAAAAAGTAACACAGTATTTCCTCTTTGGGTTACAATTAGAACATCGAACTTTGTGGTAGCTTGTGTAAGAAGTGGAAATTGCCGTGGTTTAGTAAGTACATACAATATTAGTTGCTATACCGAATGTGTTGCGATAATGTTAGGAACGGTGTTCAGTTCTGAATACCACGCAGATTGCATACATTTCGTTTTTAAAAAACATCATATGATCTCACCCATACTTTTAACAAAATGTTCATATACTCATTACTTTGAAACCCTGATTTTCTGTAGTCTTAATAAGTGTATAAATATTTTTTGAATGATTCATTTGTGTCCAATGTAAATAGTTTGATGACTATGGAATGGATTTTTTGCTGATAATGTTCTTCAAGTAAGAAAAAGATATTAGGTGTATAGATATGACAAACGTATTTGTGAAACAAATTATAACATGAAATAATTATCTTCACCGTTTACAGTTGAAGTAAGTAAAAAATGGATGTAAACAATGGTAGTAGTTAGAATTTTTAAAATAAGAATTTTACATTTATACTCTTTTTTGTTTCAGGATTCCTTCATCTCAGATTTGTAGTTTATTGTGGTTTTTAAATTTTTATTGAAATGCTTTATAAAATTTGGTTTATTACAGATAGTAAAAAAATATAAATAGTAATCATATTTTTTGCAATTTGGTCTTTTTTTCAACATTGAATTTGAAATTTATCAAATCAAGTTAAAAATTGGAATGAATCTAAATCTTAATATCAAAATTCAAATTTGAATGGTAATTTCAGTTCTTAAATCTTAAATTTTGAACCTGATAATTACTAAATTTTACTACCAATTCTTATCTAAATAATTTAAAATCAAAATAAATATAGTTTTGCAAAAATATAATTAATACATTAAACTTATAGATTTTAGTTATATTTTTATTTTTTCCCCTGTAATGTTTTAAAAGTAAATTAAAAAATATTGTTAAACTTAACCAAAAGTTAAGAAGTTCTAATACAAAGATGTTCACATTAAAAGATCATAATACAAAAGCCCTTAGGAAATTCTTTTTTTAATAAAAATAATTTGACATCAACATGCTTATTTATCTAGATTAAATGAATTAAATAGAAAAAAGTAGAAATAAGTAAGTTCAATAATATCTTATGGAGAAGCTTTAGATATGCAAATTTGACTTTTTATGTATTTGTAGGTGATTTGTAGATTGAAAATTTGGCCAACAAATTAGCCAAATGTTAGACATATTAGCAACTTGTAGTACAAGTTGGCCATGTGGCACACATATAAAAAACTTATCTTGCAAGTTAGACACATATTTGAGATTTTATAGGATTTTGCCACTTAGTTCCTAGTTAGATAGTATATATGGAGGTAAGAATGAAGCTTTCTTTAGTCTTATGAACATCTTTTTTGTTTTTAGTCTTATTTTAAGAATCTCAAGTTTTCTTGTATTTGATAACAATCACTCTACTCTTAATATTATACCATCTTTGAGTGATTATTTGTTCTTTTTTAGTGACTTTAGAATGTATTCATCTTTGTATTCTTTGTGATTCATGTTCTTGATACAAGTTCCTCTATGGAAGTATTAGTCTTTAAAAATAATACAAAAAAAAGAGACTTAAAAATATACCAAATTATTTATTAATAATTTAAATATAAAATTATATGTCATGTTTTTGGCCATTATTATAAACATAATTTTTTAAAATATATCATTATTAATTTTTAAAATGACATCTTATTTTTTTGTAAAAATTACTTTTTGAGGTTGATATATTATAAATTTTGAAAAAAAATTATAATTATATCATAAAAAAAATCTATTTATTAATTCTTTTTATTTATTTATTCTAAATTATATATATACCACATTGTGTAATATTGAATCTACATAAACTATACTTGTATTAACATACTCACAATAATAAATATATATCTCTAATATGTAAGTGGTAGTGTTGATAAATATATATTATACAATATCAATTCACACTAGATTTGAATTATAGCTCAATATTAATTACAATCACACATACATATCATCAAAATAAAAAATAGAAGTAATTCCAAGCACAGATAATTTTTAGCAAAATTAAGGCCAATTAAGCCTCTTTTACATGTCTCTTTCATAGTTAATGAAGCTCTTTTCATGATGGTGCATCCCACTTAATATCATTTCAATTAGATGTTATATAGTATTAATTGAAGTAGGTTCTATTAGCTTGTTAATTTCCATTAGTTCTTATCTTACATCATAGACAAACCCATTTATCAATAAGAACTTAATCTAAAAGTAGTATGAAACACTTCATATGTCAATTTGTAGAACAAACATTATATAAGATCATTATAACACCTACTTGAGTTCTCTTACATAATATGTACTTCAAACTAGTTGAAATTGTATTCAAATTGAGATCCATTGTATCAATTATATTTGATAGATGACAAAGAATATAATTCTTAAAATAATCTTTCTAAAATTTTCTATCATGACATTTTAACTCCAACACATATCCAATATAGTCAGTGTAATTTGCTACAAGTAAATATAATCACCTAATGTAAACCATTGTTGTGATGTCAATTATTTATTAGTTAAATAATAGGAATTTATGTATGTTGTGTACATCTTATGTATTCAATTAGATTAATATTAATGTGATGTTGTTGTAGTTCATGTATTTTATTTATGTTAGCAAAAGATCAACCATTAGATTAATAACTAAAAAGATTTGATAGTGAAGATAAAAATAAGGATAGAATAGAATACATGTGGTGGCTTCTCATCTTGGATATAAGTAAGAGTCATCTTAAAGACAATTAAAAGTCATCTTAGAGACAACTGAGAATCTTCTTAGAGACAATCAGGAAAAATGAAAGAAACATCTTAGAGACATCTTAAGGACATCTTAATGATATTTTTAAGATATTGAGGTGGCTTAAAAGAATGAAGAAAGGCACAAATATATGGTTGTTGTATCTTTTGTTTTGATTAATAAAGAAGAAAAGTTTTAGATCTTAGATGAGAATCTATTATATTAAATTAGAGTCTTTAATTTGAGCAAGCTTTTGAGATATTATTTAAGACAAGGATATCCACCTACATGTAAAGTTTTAAAGTAATGACCAATTAGATCAAAGAGAAAAAAGTACTAAAGCAAAGGAGGTCTAGCAAGTTTATAAATCAAAGGTAATAACTTTGAGAGATTAGAACTTAGTGTCTATAATAACTAAAGTTATGAGACTTGGAATATATATATTTTTTTTAGTCAAGAACAAAGTATGAAGTTTTAAAGTATAGTAAAGTTTACTTTAGGAGATATGTATAAAAGAGTAATATAGTGTAGGATTATGAAGAATTAGATATAATTAAAATAGTTAATTTAGGTAATTTTTTTGCTATACATGGTTTAAATCATCATTAATTTTGAGAATTGAAAAGTGAAGAAAGAATAAGATATTTAGTATATTATAAAAGATTTCAAATTAATCTATTTAATTTATATTAAGTTATACAAGTTTAAAGTGAAATAAGTTAGATTAGGTACAAGGGAGTGATAAGTTTTTATAAAAAAGTACAAAAGAGAGGATAGAAATTAAGATATCTATAAGTAGTAAAGATCTCTACAACAAAAAGCTTTATATTTTTTTGGATCAACAACACACGTCTTATTACATCTATAGTTATAGATGACAAAAAAGAAATAAATAAGTATATATATTTAAGAAGAAACTTGAATGGCTATTGCCAAGAGTAAAAAAAACTAGAGATCTTTAAAACTAAAGTAGAAATAAGAAAAGAAATGACAAGAGTGAGAAAGGTCTCATTCTTACCTTTATATATACTATCTAACTAAGAGCTATGTAGCAATGTTCTACAGAACTTCTAGCAAGTCATCAGCTTGTAAAACACATCTCTAATTTGCAAGACAAGCTTTCAATACATGTACTACATATCCAACTTGTATTACAAGTCACTGATATATGTGAGACATGGCCAATATTTTTGCTAAATTTTTAACCTATTAATTACCTATAGATATGTATAAAGATAAAGCCACATCTATGAAGCTTTTAAAAAAAAATTCTACAAGATATTATTAAATTTATTCACTTTTATTTATTTTTATATATAAATATTATCTAAATAATTATTAGAATAAATATAGATGTTAGTTACAATAGCCTGATTTTTTAATAGTGGCATATCTTAAAGTATGACAATATTTGATAATAGTAAGATTATCAAATGTCATTGGCATAGTATATTCAAACAACTTTATTTGTATGTTATTCACCTTTATCTACATATTATAATCATCTATTTTTATCATTGCATGTATATCATGTTTAATTGAAGTTTATAAGACTAATTCTTTTCTAAACAAAAAGAAGTAAGGAAAAAATGTAGCTAAAGAAGTGTACTTATTAAATCTGTATCTTATAACTAATCAAAGTAATTGCAAGTTCTAATCTTCATTATCTCTTTTTTATAGACTATATTTTTTAAGATCTCTTTTGATTGTCTACACTATATATTTTGCCAAACCATTTACATTAGGATGATTTTGCAATGTAGTTATGTAATGAGTATATACTTGCTTCAATAAAGCTTTAAATTCACCTAAAA